CTCGAGGACGTGTGTACCTGAAACGGGTGATTATTTGTTATTATTTATCATTATTTTTATTTTTATTATTATTTATTATTATTTATTATTATTGTTTATTATTGTTTATTATTATTTATTATTATGGTTAAGGTGACGGAGCATTGGACGTTCAAGCAATAGATGTTCATGTGCAGAAGTTGATTGCGAGGATTGAAAAATTGGAGCGAGAGAGGGTATTTTTTATTATTTTATGTTATTTGTATATTATTATTATATAATAATAAATAATAAAAATAATAATAAATAGTAATAAATAATAATAAATAATGAATATTTACAGAATCAATATCGTGACTCATTCGACCGATTGCAACGCAAGACGAGCGATAGCCACATCGTTTTGAGTAAGCAGGAGCATTTGTATAAGTCGGTTGAGGAAAAGATGATTGATATGGAAGAGGGTTAGAGATTATTTATTTTTATTGTTATTATTATTTATTATTTGTTTATTTATTTATTGTTGTTGTAAAATTATAAGGTTGTCAAAAGTTTATCTTCGTGTGGGATGAATTCGCCAACGGCTGGTGGGCGGGGCTTAACGTCCAATCCACTCGACGCTCCGCCCAGATGTATTGTATTTATTATAATTATTATTGTATATGCATAATATTTATTATAATTATTATTGTTTATGTATAATATTTATTATTTTGTATATAATAATTATTATTTTATATATAATAATAATAATTGTATATATTTATAAAATAATTTAGAGAAGCGTGCGGTCGAGGTGAAACTGACGTCAGCGAAAGAGTTACTGCGTTCGCAGGAAGAGGCGTTGAAGAAGAGGGAGGAGGAGCGTAGTGCGTTGAAGCAGAAATTGATAGCGAATGAGCTGGAGACGCGTGGGAAGGAGGCTCAAATTAGGCATTTGAATGTATATTTTTATTTTATTTATTATTGTATTTATTATTATTTTTATTGTATTTGTTATATTTATTATTATTGTTGTTATTTTTATTATTATTATTGTTTTTGTTGCTGTTATCGTTTCACGGTAGTAGTTATTTTTCTGTGGAAACGGCGACAGAAAAGTGGTTGGTGGTTGGTCGCGAAATGTTACGGTAATTTTCGTTCTAAGACTCGCTGGATGCCACCCATCCACCCACGCATTTGGGTGAATTTCAGGAGCGTGTAAAAAATTTGCGCGGGGAGTTGGAGAATTGCCAAAACGAGAATCGCCAACTCAAAGAGAAAGAAGAGCAGATGGACGTGAATAAGATTGTGCTGGAGTCGAAAATACGCGATTACGATTCGGAGACACAAAAAATTAATGTGCTAATGGAGAATTTTGAGACTGAACGTCAGGTTTGTATTTATTATTATTTATTATTGTTATTATTTATTATCATTTATTAATATTTAATTAATTAATTAGTCAATTAATTAATTATGAATGAGTTGCAGAAGCTGAATGAATCAGTGAAGAAGTTAGCGTCTGAGCTGATGACGAGTCAATCGGAGAATTCGGATTTGAAAGATGATCTGGAGAGGGCCAAAAAGGAGTTGGCCAAGTTCGAGAGGTCAGAGGTCAACCTGAGGCGATCGCTTGACGAGCAGATGAGGAACGTGAAGGAGTGTCAAAATTTGAGAGATCGGGTTGGTCGTTTTGATATGATTGGTGAATTGTAAAATTTTTTGACGACATCTTAAAGTGGATCCACCTTATTATTATGGTTGATATTGATATAGATACGCGAGCGTACTCGCGTGCGACCCTCCTCCCTCTTCCCCCTCC